TCTTCTGACTCCCAAATATAGAACTCTTTCTATTATGCCATGCTGTGCTAGCTGAAGTGGAATACTCTTCTCCTCCTCCCTCCCCCCGAAGCCGAATCATCTGGTATTTTTTAGCCTTCATCCGTTTCCTCACAGTTACCCATGCCAGTAGTCTCTTCCTTCCCCCTTTTTGCCTATTGAATTCTTCTCATCAATTAAAGCCTAATTCAAATGAGTTCTATGGGGAGGTTTCCTTAATCTGGTGTTTTCCTTTCTCCCTCAGAATTTAAATAGCATTTTTGCTTTCCAACTTTATAAAAACAATGTTTAATAAATGCATTATATAATGTATTTATGCCTAATATTCATCCATTTGGCCATAAACTTTTTGAGAGCTCTTATCTTAGCTTTATATTTCTTCCAGTACCTAGCACTGTGCTCCATACCTGATAGAGGTTTAATCCATGCTTGTCGAAGGGAAGGTAAGAAGTAAAAATAAATAAATAAATAAATAAATGAGAGAAATAGCTAGAAGAACAGTAGATTCAAATTAGGGGCTTTTGCAAGGTAGGAAGCATTTATATTTGTTCAAACATGCATATTTGAAGGCAGAGAGAAGAAAGGGAATAAGCATTTATTAAGCACTTGGTATGTGCTAGGCACTGTGCTAAGTACTTTACAAATAGCTTATTCCATCCATACAACAACCTTGGGAGGTAGGAGCTGTTATCATCCTCATTTTACACTTGAGGAAACTGAGGCAGACAGAAGTTAAATGATTTGTAGAAAGAAGTGTTTGAGGCTGTATTTGACCTCAGATCTTCTTCATTCCAGGCCCATCACTTCATCTACTGTTTCATCTAGTTGCCTTTAGGTAGATTTGGAAGTGAATAAATGACCAGACCCAAAGTGCAGTGATTAATATTGCAGTGATCATTGTCAGCTTGGAAGTATGGGAAGATTCTGGTGGATGTCTTTAGGGATCTTTCCTTGGATCTTTTCCTTGGATCTTTCCATTCTCCATTTTATCAGTGACTTGAATGAAGCCATAGATGTCATACCTTCATGCCCCCTAATGACTGTCAGAGCTGTATCTTGGGTATGACCTCTCACTGTATTCAATCTGAGACTGCTCAAGAGTTAGAGAGACATGATTTAGGGTCCTGGGTTTGATACTTGCTGAATTTAGGACCTCGCACAAGTCATTCCATGTTGTCTGAGCTTTGTTTTCTACAACTATGGAATAGGGATAAAGAATACACAATTTATCTCATAGGTTGTGAGGAAAATTCTTTGTTAACCTGTGAGTGTTGTGTAAAGGTGAAGCAGCTTTGTGTAGTAGATCAAGAACTAACGTGGAGTCAGGAAGACCTGGGTTCAAATCCTGCCCACTGACAAATACTGGCTTTTTATGTCAGTTCACAGCTTCTCAGTGTTCCAGTAAGCTCTCTAAAACAAGTGTTGAGAAAGTGTCACCTTGCTTTTAGTAGCTGAATTTTCCCCATGAAATCACAGATCTCATTTGCATTGACATTATCCTCTCCCAAGCTCGAAGGTAGACAAATTCCTCTTCATTTTCTAGGAATCCATGGAGATAGGGTTTTATTCCTCATTTCTCTAAAGCTTCAAAACTTTGCTTTCTTAAATTTCATCTTCATCTGACATCATTTCAAGAGTTCTAAGGCAAACCCTACTATTTCTCTTGAAGATACTGACAGTGTATCATGAAGGATTCATGATTTCATTTGTGTGGTTTATTCTACTGACACAGATCCAACCTTTTACATCGTTTTATAAGCTACTGTCACTTTAGAAAAAATCCATATAGTACTGAACCTTGTGTTTATAAGCCTCTCCTGAAACTTTGCTGTTTGGTCCTTATACAGCAAGAGCACACAGAGCCTTGTTAGTTTGTGAAAGCATGCCATTACTCAGGGTATCACCTCCATGACACTTATGGAGAAGGCCTTCAGGAGTGGTTTGGTGGAAATATTTAATATTTCGTTAGCTCTGTGGTCCCTTAAAAATTTATACTTTTTGATTTGACCCATTCATATTCCCAACAAATACCTCCTATAAGTTATATTCCCAGAAGAAGCTAAAGTCACTTGATATCGTGGTTGTGACTGATACAGTTCATGCTACTTTCTACTTTTGTTCCATTTGTTAACAGAAGGGATGTGTGCTTTTACTTCAGGAATTTAGGCAACATTTTTATACGTCGTATTTTGTTGCAGTTGAGTAGTTGTCTTCATTTCCATTGTTGTTGTCATTGTGTGTATTGTTCTATTTGGTTCTGTTTTCTTCATTCTTTAGTCTTAAGTGATTCTTTCTAAGTTTCTCTGAGCTCTTTCCTAGTTGTTTTGTGATTTCATCATTGTGAATACTCCCTCTACTGGTACCCCTCAACACTCATTCTTGCTTTTTCATCCTATGCTTTTTTTTTAATCCATGACTTTTCAGAAGTCTCCTATAGAAAATTCACTTAGTGTGCTAGTTCAATATGTGGGCACCATAGAAGGAATCAGTAGAAAGGGAAAAAGTGAAAATTAAAGTGAAAAGACTGGGGGTGGGAGGGATATTATGTACTAGGGAATATGGAAATGGAGAAGATCAAAGGGAATATACAATCATGCAGGAAGGTTGATCTTGGCAAGCAAAAGGATCACCTCTTCATCAGACTGGAGTAAAGGAAGAGAGAATGGGTGATGATGTGCCCTTTATTATAAAAATGAGCTCCAGTCTGATAGACTTCCAGTTTTTATTAAAAATTTTCGAACATATTACTTTTTCCATCGTCCATTGATCAAGCAGAGAGACTGGAAACATTAAGTAAATTCAGGCAGTGGAATGAAAGTGTCCTTTCAAATTTCTCTTTTTCTCTCTGTGCTAGAAAATGATAGGATCCTGTGTTGGTTCACCTCAAGGGTTTAGTGGCCCTAGCAGTCAACTTTAGAAATTCTTTTTTTTTTTTTTTTTTGGAGAGACAATTGGGGTTAAGTGAAACTTTAGAAATTCTTTAGCAGAATATTAATAAAATATTAGCATTGTACAATGTTGCTTTTTAAATCTATGTTTTAAAAAATTTGCTACAAATTATGATTTTTAGTGTAGCAACTTTTTTTCCCCTAGGAAATGTAGCTCTGAAGTGAGAATATGTATGTGGGAAACTAAATTTCTTTTAAAAATTTATCTTTATGTCTTTCATTTTTATATCATGTTTTTTATTAAATAATTTTTATGATGTTTTGCTTTCCCAGCCTGTTAAGTTTTTCTTATATGCCTCTTACCATCCCTCTTCAAAGACATCCTTTATTTATCTGTTCCATCCAATTCTCCTCCCACTAAGAAAAAAATAAAAAAATTAAGCCCTCAATAGACAGAAAACATAGTCTTACAAGACAAATGCTAGCATTGACCACACCTGGAGAAGTATGTCTCTTAATACATTATTTAAATTCATCATTTTTCTGAATTCTGTTTTACTCTGAATATTCGTATTCAGTCATTTTGTATTTATGGTTTATCATTTTTGTTGATTAAGATCTAAAGTCTTTGAGAGCTGTGTTTTTGTATGTCAACATTGTATACATTGATTTCCTAGTTTTGCTCATTTTACTCAGCATCAGTTCTTACAGGTCTTCCCAGTTTTTTCTGAAACTGTCCATTTCTTAATTTCTTATGGAACAATACCATTCCATTATATTCATACTATATACAGACTACATATTACAGTTTGTTTATCCATTTTCCAATAGGAGGACACCCCCTTAGTTTCCAATTTTTGGCTGCCATAAAAAGAACAATAACATTTTTTTGTACTTGTAGGTTTTTTCCCCTCCCCCCCCTTTTTTAAAGTGGGGGTAGTGGTGGGGCTTAATAATAATATAGCAGGTTGGGTTAGAGGGTATGCATAGTTTAATAACTTTTAGGGGCATAGTTCCAAACTGATTTCTAGAATGTCTGGCCAATTCATAGTTCCACAGTAGTATTTTGCCCTTTTTCCCACAGCCCTTTCCAACATATATCGTTTTCTTCTCTTGTCGGCTTTGCCAATCTGATGGGGTAGGGTGTAGCTTCAGAGTTGCTTTGAGTTTTTCTAATTACTAGTCATTTAGAACATTTTTTTTCTGTGATTCTTGATAAATTTCATTTCTTCCTTTGAAAACTTCCAGCTCATTATCTTTTTGACAATGGGAAATTAAATTTAAAAAATCAGTCCACCTAAAAATTTTTAGGGTTGGTCTTCTGCATAAATCAAGGTCCGTCTAATTGCTTTTATAGATTGAATGAAAAGAAAGTTTGAGTTAAGTTAGTTTGAAATCATTTTGAAACAAAAGAGAAAGATATTTGAGGGAGACAGTGGTCTGATAATTCAGAAGATGTTACAGATATTTTAAATTATAATTGTTTCCAGTGACTACATTTGAAAGTACAATATGGAAGCAGCTTAAATCAGTTCATTTTATAGTAAAATACAGTATGTGGTATGCTTTGTTTAACCATGAGACTGCATCATAAACTACCCATACAAATTTACCTTACCACTTTGTAGTGACATCTTGTACATTACTTTTGAATGTTTTAAAGAATAAAAGGAATGGTATAGAAAACTAAAAAAATAGCCTTCGTTTCACTGTATGAGTTAGGTACATATTTTCAGTAGTGGTTTGCCAAAGACACATCATTCCTAGACCAGGATGATTGTCAGATAGTTTTCATTATATAAGAACATGTTGAATATACTACTTGAATACTTTATGAAGGAAAATATAACTTCTATAAAGGGATAAAAGTTTTATTCTTAATCTTTATATATGTCATCACCCTTATGGATGGTATATTCCTAAATAGAATATGCTCATTCGTGCCCTCTTTTGACATAGGGATGTAGTAAGCTTAGCACTTTTTCATAGATGAAAAAGGGTAAAAACTGAAACAGCATTTCAAAATATTTAAGTAATTTAATTTTTTTTTGAATTTTGTTTATAACTGTTTCTTAATTTTTCCAATTTTTTTAGACTCCTTGGTTAACCATCTTCAGAAGAGTGGATTTCTGATGTACCAAACTCCATGTCTCTCATTGAAAGTAAAATATGATATCACAGATAAGCAGCATTGACAACTATCCATGAAACTTTGTATATCTTAATATCAGCCCTCGAAGCTTCCCCAGGGAACGCATAATGACATCTGCAGTGGTTGACAATGGGGGTTCTGTTTTGGAGCTTTCCAGCAATGGAATAGAAAATCAAGAGGTTTGGAATTCACTGTGTTCCATTTAAATTGCATTTATATTTTATTATGTAGAAATTCATAGGTAATTCTTATTTTAAATAATAAGAACATGTTGCACAATTTTTGTCATGCAGAATGTTCTATACATGAGACATGATATATAGCCTCATATACTTTTAAATTGTGGACAATAAAAGTACAGTGAAACAATATAATACTTTATGCTTATACGGTGCTTTATAGTTTGCAAAGCTCTTTTTGTATATAGTATCTCATTTGATTTTATCCTCACAACAGTCCAGGCAGGTGTTAATGATCTTTATTTTATATTTGAGGAACCTGAGGTTCTGAGAAGTTAGTGACTAGCCCAGTATTACACAGCTAATAAGGAGGTGAACCAGGTCTGAAATTGAACCCAGGTCTAAAGATTTTAAGGCTATGTTCTTTTTAATGCTACGTCTCTTTAATGGTGTCATGGGGCATCATAGCACTTTTGTTGAAGGATAGTATACATGGAATTAAGAATTGAGATGAGAGAAGCAACTGTGAAACATGATTTTGAGATTAGGGAGTACCTTAACCCTTAAGTTAATAATTTTAAACAGATACTGGTTTGGACTTTCATAGGACAATTTTAAAGACATTTAAAAATTATAAAATTAGTCATTAACTATAATCTTAAAATGTTATTTTAGAGTTAATTTTCATTGAGATTTAGGTATATAATAGTATGACTTTATGTAAATTTTAATAAGGGGAATAAATATTTATATAGTGCCTACTACGTGCCAGGCATTGTGCTAAGCGCTTTTTACAAATACTATCTCATCAGGTCCTCACAACCACCCTGTGAGGTAGATGCTGTTGTTATTCCCATTTTACAGTTGAGGAAACTGAGGCAAACAGAGGTTAAGTGACTTGGCAATGAATGTGTTGTTGAATTTGAGACTTAGATTTCAGTCTGAGTTATACCTTAACTCAACTTATCTTCCCATAGTGCATATTATGTTCCAAAAGATAGTAAATTTTTCTGTATAAAAATTTAGATTTTAACATACTTTATTAATCTATGATTTTTTTTTCAGTCTGGGTACTTCCTCCACTGACACAGGTCACAACCCCATTATAATTTAATAGATGGTCTTCCAAAAGTTGCTCTGGCTGAAAAACTCACCTTGTGGTGGATACGATACAGCTTTTGAACACAACTGGACTGGTCTTTGAGTACAGATGGAAGGTCAATCACCAATCCCTCTTCTTGCTCTAACATTCTATCAATCTTGAAGCAGCTAATGAGTAGAGATCAATTCCAGTCATTTCCTGTCTCCCACACTGCTTTTTATCAGTCGCTTTAGCAAATGACCTGAGCAGTGAGGCAAGGTTGGAAGGGGATCTTGGCCGTCATCTAATCCAGCCTCCTCCTTTTACAGAGAAGGAAACTGAGGTCCAAAGATGTGAAATGATTTGTCCAAAGCCAGGATTCGTTTAGTCCCTGGTCTTGCGTTTGTTTCTAAATCCAGTTGGTGTTCTTCCCACCACACAATGCCATGATTTAGCTGCTAGTCTAATCCTGCTTTTGGGAAGTTCTTTTTAAGTTTATAAAGCTGATTTATATTCTTGCTTCCCACCCTGTAGCCACTCACAAAGTATTTTTTGGTTGTTGTTGTTACTGATCAGTGTTAGTGTACAGATTCTTAAGGACTCCATCTTCTGAATTGTTTTTGATTTCTAATCTCAATCCTAAATAAAACCTTCCCATCCGCTTGTGAGACATAAAAATCAGATGATCTATTTAATTGCTTATTTTGAAAAAAAATTATATTTAGTGTGTACAAAATAGTACAGATTGAGTGTATAAGAATTTGTGATTGACTTCAGGGTTTGTGGATAATAAGTTTCATTTAGAAAAAAATTTGCTCTTTTAGGAAGGTGAACAAGTTTCCAAATATCCAGCAGTGATTGTGGAGCCAGTTCCAAGTGCCAGATTAGACCAGGGCTATGCAGCCCAGGTTCTAGTCTATGATGATGAGACTTACATGATCCAAGATGTGGCAGAAGAGCAAGAAGTTGAAACTGAGACTGTGGAATCAGGTAGATCTTTAAACAAATATATTTTTTATAAAGTCTTTTTGTGGGATTCACTATTCTTACGTAAATTGTATAGTGGGGCTCCTTCTAGTTTGGAATTAGTGGAAAGGTTTACCTTAAAATTTGCTTAAGGAGTTTTATTTCTAGAAGCACCAGGAGAGCTTTATATAATTCTGTGTTGTTTAGGACACTGCCCTGTGTCATGGACCTCATGACCAAAATTATTTTCTGCATTTACTTTCCAAGTGCTGCTTCATGCATCCTGCTTTTCATTCTTGATGCCCTTTTCTTTCTTGCATACAGCAGTAACAAAATAATAGGTTCAGAGCTGGAAAAGCCCTAAGAAGTCATCTAATTTTATCCTCTCCTTTTATAGGTGATGAAGCAGGGATACAGAGGGGGTTAGTACCTAGCCCAGGGTCATAGGGGGAGTTGGAGAGGCAAGGCCACAACTCAAACCCAGCCTCTCTGACTAAAGATCCACACTATTGTTTTTTCCATTCCACTTAGTTAACCTACTTGTAGAGGCAAAAAGGAAAAGTAGCACATAGTCCAATGCATTGACACCTAATAGAGGCTGTCCTTCTCATTTCTCATTAGAATTAAAATAGGATTTTTGGAAAAAGGGAGAGCTTTGGAGAAAAGAATGGGCATGTCTGTAGCATTTTTATGTAAAGAGTTAAAAAAACTAATGGATTTGTCTTTTCAGGGATCTCTAGAAACTATCCGTCATGAATGGGGAAAGTACTCTTCTAGTATTTATTTAGTATTAATAGTTTATTAAACAGTTGTCAGTAATCTAGAATAAATGCACATAGAAAAAGCATTTCACATAGCTGGAAGATTTTATGCCATTTATTTTTTGCTGTAAGATTTTACTTGAAGTTTTCATTGGTGGGGGGTAGGGGATCATAAAAGCAGAATTGTTTGAACCATTTTGCCATCATTGCTTTACACTAATCCCCTAAAAGTTACCTTCAGAAAAAACAATTTTTAAAAATATGGTATAAATAACAAATAGAAGTTCTTATATACATTTATTTTGATATTTGTTTAATCTAATAGATGTTTGTGGAACAGAATTAATTATGCCCCACAAAATGCCTTGTTTAAAGAACTTCAGTATAATAAATAAGCTTAATAGTGGACATAGTTATTTACCAACAAGTGGAAAACAGAGTAGGGTTTACTCATTATTCTCATCAGTGGAAGAGATCGAAGGTATTTACAAACCAAAAATAATTTGTATTTGTCCTTAGAAATGCTTTCTTTTATTGACATAGGTGTTTATCTGATAATCTGGGAATATGGTAAAAAAGAACTTGGAAGGTGGTAATTTCTTTATCTTGACTTCCTACATAACGAACATCCCATTTCATTCTGGTAATAACATATCACTCTTTTAGACTATTGCAATGTTTGCCATTTTCTGAATCTTACTTAAAGAGAATGTGGTTGAATATAGGCTTCCAAATGGATTTCTCTGCATGTTGAGTAAATAATGAGAGATGAGATATCAGCAATATTGAATAAAAAAGCTTACACAGGTTGTAAATAAACGACAACATGAATTATCTGATAATCATAGTTAACTGAATTGTGTAAATCTGAAAATACAGATAGTAGTAATGCACTGATTACGGCATTTGTCCTTCCCAAAGAGTATTTTTTGTTGGTTTGCTGTGAGTTTTTTGACGGTCTCAAGTTATTTTACCATGTAGGGGAAATGATTATGATGGTATTTTTCTTGTTATCATCATGATCATGATCTATCATCATCTTGTTCTCATCTTCTTGGGAGTTTAGGTAGAAGTGGCCCTGGCACAAGTTGTTGTTCTGCTATTTTTCTTTTATATTTAATGTTTTTTGTATTGTTGTACATGTGGATGAAATAATTGCTGTTTTTAATCCAATGCCTATTATTATTGTCGATATTTGCATAAATATCACAGAGTGGAGAATTGGCAGTTATTTAGTCTATTTGATTATAGTCAAACACTTAATTTAGTGTTTCATAGACAGGCTTTGAGCACAAAACTGGTACAAATACAATGGAAAAGTATATGACTTTTCTGATCATTTTTAGGAGTTTATTGAAAGTGATGAGAAGCTGAGTATCTTTTCAGTTTGTTTTTGGCAGGATAAAGAAAGTTACAAGTATTATGACAGATGAACTTAACGTTATTTGCATGTGAAATGATTAGGAGAATAGTTTAAATATATGAAGTTTTTAAAATAAATACATGTGTTAACAGTGTGACTTGAAATTTTAACTGTGTGAACATTATTTAAAATAACAAACATAGTGATAAGCAAAGAAATAGAGTAGCAGGTATAAGAGACTCAGGTGAAATCTGCATGTAAAAGGTGTGAGGTTCTGAAGAAAGGGAAATTTTGCATGAGGTCTTTCCACCACGAAAAAGAAAAGCTATGATGATGAATGAAACAGATGAAAATTTTTATTTTAAAAGAAAATTTGGTCAAATAAAAAGAAAAAGAAGATAATTTCAGTAGCATAGTGTTTGAAGCTTTAAAGAAAAACAAAAATTGTATGTATTGGTGAAATTTGTGAAACTGAGGGCACCTTGGATATTCTGATCTTAGATTCACGCATGTGAACAAACAACAATGGCTACCGTATTCATGATATTAGAATTGCCTTGCTCAGCTTAATTTGTTCCTAGGATTATCATTATTTTAATGTAGCTAAAAATTAATTTCTTATTAGAAAAAGTGATTTATATAATTAGTTTGAGTATCGTTCAGGGATCAGTTTATTTTCAGTTCCTTTCTTGCCAGAGTTTAGCAAAATATGTATTATTTTTTCAGGCAATATGGCAAAGTTGGCTTAAAAGAATATATTGTCACTTCAGGGGTGATTTTTTGAAAAAGAATTAATAATCTCTTTAGATTTATTTTATTTTAACAGGAAGATAAGATGCTTTTGGCATATAATGAACCAAGTGTCATCCTGTATAAAAAATTATTTTAAAAGTTAATCTTAATTTAGATTCTGGCTCAAAGTAAATGAGAACTAATATTTGTAAAAAGTGCTTAACACAGTACCTGGCACATAGTAAGTACTATATAAATTCTTGTTCTCTTCTCCCCTTCCCCTCAAGTTCTCGAATGTAACTTTATAAAGATATTTAACTGGCGTAGATCAGTTTCAAGGTCATCTAATCTGGGCTTTAATTCATTTCTATTTAAAGAATCAAATGTTTCTTTCAAGTGAGTTGGAGACTGAATGTAACTTCATCATTTCAACACTTAGAAAATGGAAGTTATTCTTTGTATTAAGGTTCATTCTTAAATCTGCTTGATTTTTCTATAAGAAAAATCTGATCAATTTTTGTGAACTAAATTTGTAATTTAAATTCTAAAAACTTACTTTCACGTAAGTTAACAGGAAAATTAATTTTAAGAGAAGAGAATATTATATTTGATATTAACAGTATTAAAATTAGAAGGGGAAAATTTTTCAGATGGGTTAAATATTTTTGATTAGTGAGTTGAGATTAAAATAAAACAAAGTAGTTTAAAGACCAGTGTTTTCCTTGTACATCCAGGAAACTAATGCAAGTTTCATTCTATACATCACAATTCAGATTGTCTTAGTCTATGCATTAATACTAAAAATAGAATAATTTAAGTTCTTTTATTCATGCTGTTTAAACATTTTCATACTAAATTATTCAGGTTGTCTATCTAGCTGGCTCACTCACCCCAATTAGATTCCACCTTTTCATTTAATTTTGTGCTATGTAGACTTGTCACGTAGGAAGTATTCAAACAGGAGCCATTTTCTGGATTAGTATGATGCTGCTAGGAGAAGCAAGGATATAAGAGGCTTTAATGATTTAATTCTCATTCAGTGTTTTCTAAGTAATTTGACTGGAAAACACTTTTGGCTTTGAAATATACTGACAGATTACATAACTGATCACCCAGGGTGGGCAGGTACATTATTAGCCAGGGCCAGAGCTTTCTCAACAGAGTATGGGCAGAAATGAAAGTAAATCACAAGGTCACTATTAAGGCAGTTAACCTCTTGTTTTTTTGGAGGGGGCAGGGTATGAGTGGTGGAGTGTGGAGTGGAGTGAGGGTGGGTATGGTTTCCCATGTATATTTCTGTGGTGGTGTAATTTTTCAGTGTCTGTTCAGTATCTCTTCTTCTGGGCTATGTTATCCTCTTGAATTCAGGGTGGGAGTTAGAACTGAGGCTGGGAAAGAATGGAAGGCCAAAGGCTTGGTGTAGCCCTGGATAGTCCTGGTAGGATTGGAGGCCCTCGCTGAGTTAGAGGATGGATAACTTTTTCTAGATGGTGCATTTGGATAGAAATTTTCTTGTACAACTTCTATTAATATCATGTAGAACACCAGGGTTCTGTGGACCACTTTTTAGAACTGCTGATTTGATAATTTTTATTCATCTAAATATAGTATAATCTCAACATTTGATTAGTAGTTGTAATTATAGGTTATTCTACTTCCAACATTTTCCAGGCTTTGTAAGACTACTCAGCAATATTAAGTCTTACAGTGATAGACTGTATTTCTTTTGGGACTATAGCAATAGGTGTCTACATCTAGGTGGTTCTTTGGTAGTGATTATAGGCTTCGTCATTAGGAGGCCATTTAGTAGTGACAACAAATGTGAGTGTGAGTAGAGAAGTTAGAGATGATTTCATCCAACTTTCTCATTTTGCAGTTGTAGAAACAGGTTCATTGAGGTTAAATGACTGGCTCAAAGTAACATAGTAGCCCAGTTAGAATTCAAACCAGGATTTTTGACCTAAAATTCACCTAGAAGGGCTATGTTTTCTACTTTCCCAGTGTTGTGCTTAAATATAGACCAAGTATCTTTCTTAGTTTAGAGTTCCCTCACGCTGGGTATCTTATTGTATATTTTTTTAGGTATAAGTCTGCCAGAAACATTTTTGTTAATTTAACATTTATTCTAAATCCGAGCATTTCTAGTTTAGGGAAATGTCCATACTGTC